GGCCAGAGGCTCTTCCCCCGCCCGGCGGCCCCCGCCCAGCCCAGCCCCGCGAACCCCGCGAGTCCCAGCCCCAGGCTGCGGCTGGCTGTAGTGCCTGGCCCCCACGCGACGCTCACCTCCGGGCTGGGAGGCGCCTCCCGCGCGCTCTGCAGCGGTGAGCCCCGAGACGGCTCCGCAGCCCCCTGCGCCTGGGCCCCGGCGGCCTGAGGGTCCATGCCCGGCTGCCCACGGGTCGGCGCCCTGGACGCCGTGGGCAACGTGACGTACCGGCCCCGCTGCCGCCCGTTGGATCCGCCGTAGAGGGGCCAATCAGCCTGGGGGGTCCCGGCCGAGAAGGCGGGGCGTGGGGGGAGGGTCACGAGGAAGCGGGGGCGGGGCGGCGCAGGGGGCGGGGCGCGCGGCCTCGTAGAGCCTGCCCCTCCCTCTCCCGCGCGAAATGTGAAACAAACTGATTTTGGTAACTCCTCCCGGTGCAGATCCTAAGGCTGGACGACCAGCTGGGAGTGAAACGCCAAGTGTGCCCTACGCGGCCACTCGGGGTGTGCTCCAGCTTTAAAACCCCGTGTGGGTAAGACACATCAGCAACCTAGTGACCTCCACCTTGAGCTAATGATCGTCTTTGAAGTTAATCCATTAGAAACCACGATAGATGATTAAAACACAAACCACAATGTGCGGTGGACACAGAATACAGGCCACGACGCTTCTCATAACCCTGAACATTCAGGGCTCCTGTATTCCGACGCTCAACGCCTGATACTCAACAACCTAATTATTTTCCTTTTTGCCTCGAAAAGTGGCTTCTGGGGATAGGCAGGGCCTGAGCTGGGAACCCAAATAGAAAGACAGCCTTCCCTGCCTTCCCCACAGTGCCTAACCTCTAACAAACCAGCTTAAAGTGTGCGCATCACATCAACACCTGAGAGACCCTCTTCCTTCTTCTCCTCAAAGACTATTGTTTATACAACACATACGGCATCTGGAAAAATTTAGCATAAAACTGACACACAATGTTCAATTTTATTTTTTTTTCCTCTATGCAGATGTTCCTACACAGAAGTCAGTGTCCCCAAGGCTAACTGCCTCTAGGTCAGTAATGTCCAGTAGAACCAACCTTCTTTTATGGTAGAAATAAAAGTTATACTATCTGTGCTGTCCAATATGGTAACCATATACCTGCTGAGCACTTGAAATGTGACCAGTGTGAATGATAAACTGAGTAATTTTAATAAATTGCTACATGTGCCTAGTTGTTCTAACAGTGCAACTCTAGGTATACCAGCTAGATGCATTTTCATAACCTGCAATAGTTAGAATCAGACATAGGGATGTGATGCCACCAGGTGGCCACCTTTATAGCCTTGTGTTAAGGAGACTACCACTATCCTCTTTGCTCCCTACTCTATGTACAACACATATGTCTTTCGTAAAATTAAAGTGCCAAATAAGATTTAGAATGTTAAACTTCCAAAGACTTAAGGGAGAGGAAAAAGAGGATTTTTTTTCTTATTTTAAAACAAATGACAAGAAAACAGTACAAAAGTTCAAAATACAAATGTTCTAAAATAGACTCTAATATTCAAAGAAATTTAATATCTAATAAAGGTAGGCTGGGCACATCAGTTCACACCTGTAATCCCAGCACTTTGGGAGGCCGAGGCAGGTGAATCACAAGGTCAGGAGTTCAAGACCAGCCTGGCCAACATGGTGAAACCCCATGTCTACTAAAAATACAAAAAAATTAGCCAGACATGGTAGCGCGTGCCTGTAATCTCAGCTACTTGGGAGGCTGAGGCAGAGAACTGCTTGAACCCGGGAGATGGAGGTTGCAGTAAGCTGAGATGGCGCCCTGCATGCCAGCCTGGGCGACAGAGCGAGACTCTCGTCTCAATAAATAAATAAACACACAAATAAAATAAAGGTAACATTACAAATCAGCAGAGAGAAAAATAACCTACCAAACAGTGTTGGAAAAATTAATTAACTGCTTGGTGAAAAAGACAGTTGTTATCAGCACCAGAAATAACTTTCAAGCATTTTAAAAACAGATTATCACACGTGCACACACACACATATGCACATGTGCGCACACGCACACACACACAATACCCCAGGGCATCAAAAATTTCCACAAAAGGTGGACACCTGTAATCCCAGCTACTTGGGAGGCTGAGGGAGGGAGAACTGCTTGAACCCAGAAAGCAGAGGTTGCAGTGAGATGCACTCCACTGGATCCACTGCACTCCAGCCTAGCCCACAGGGCGAGATTCCATCTCAAAAACAGAAAAATGGCCACAAAGAAAGCTGGGAGTAAAATTATTTGCAACAAATGAGAAACAAGACATTCATATACTTAATATATTTTTTAAAACTCTGGGCCGGGTGCAGTGGCTCTTGCCTGTAATCCTAGCACTTTGGGAGGCCAAGGCAGGTAGATCACAAGGTCAGGTGTTCAAGACCAGCCTGGCCAACATGATGAAACCCCACCTCTACTAAAAATACAAAAAATCAGACAGGCGTGGTGATAGGCGCCTGTAATCCCAGTTACTTGGGAGGCTGAGGCAGGAGAATCAATTGAATCTAGGAGGTGGAGGTTGTTGCAGTGAGCTGAGATCATGCCACTGCACTCCAGCCTGGGCGACAGAGCGAGACTCCGTCTCCAAAACTCTGGCCAGCCACAATGGCTCATGCCTATAATACCAGCACTTTGGGAGGTTGAGATAGGATTGCCTGAGTCCAGCAATTTAAGAGACCAGCCCTGGCAACTCAGCAAGACCCGAGACCCGTCTGTACAAAAAAATGTGAAAGTAACCAGGTACGGTGGTGTGCACCTGTAGTCCCAGCTACTCAGGAGGCTGATGCAGAAGGATCACTTGAGCCCAGAAGTTAAGGCTTTAGTGAGCCATGATCACACCACTGCACTCAAGCCTAGGTAACAGAGCAAGATCTTGTCCAGTTTAAAAAAACAAAACAAAACAAAATTAACTCTTATAAATAGTAAGAAAAAAGTTTTTAAAATAGGCTAGCTGGGCATGGTGGTTCACACCTGCAATCCCAGCACTTTGGGAAGCTGAGGCGGGTGGATCACAAAGTCAGGAGTTCAAGACCACACTGGCCAAGATGGTAAAACCCGGTCTCTACTAAAAATACAAAAATTACCCAAGCGTGGCCCCTGTAATCCCAGCTACTTTGGGAAGCTGAGGCAGCGAACTGCTTGAACCCAGGAGGCAGAGGTTGCAGTAAGCCCAGATTGCACCACTGCACTCCAGCCTGAATGACAGAAGACTCCAACTCAAAGAAAAAAAAAAGGATGTGAAAAGGTGAGGAACAAAAAATATACTAACCACTAATAACAAAGAAAAGTATGTTAAAACGATATATCACATTTCATCTATAAAATGGTAAAAATAAAAACTATAATTACAACAGTACATACAGGTTATGGTATTAATACTTTCATCTATTGCTTGAAAGAAGGAGCAAATTGGCAATATACATCAATATTCTCTAAAGATATCCTTTAATCCAGTAATTCCACTGTCAAATGTCAATCTCCTAAGAAAATAGCCAGGGATATGAATGAAGATTGGCAAGAATCTTCATCAACAGCATAGTTATAATTTTTTTTTTTAATTAGAAATGACAGAGTCCAACCAGAGGATTAGCAAAATAAATTATGGCTCATTTTTACAATGTAATGTTATGAATTCAATAAATGTTTTTAAGGCTCTTTAATGACACAGAAAAGCAACACTAAGTGAAATGTAACATTAAGCTACACTGAATGCTTCTCTCAGTGATACCATGTTAAGCTAAAGGGTACAATTCAAACAGTTGCCTCCTGCTCCTGGAATGCTCTTTTCTTTTTTTGCTCCAAGCCTGCCTTCCACTCTTCACTAAGGCTTCTCTGGACTTGAATCGATTCCCTACCCCCTTCACTTCTTTTGTTGCTGGGTCGCCTCAATGCAAACACTTTTCTGATCAAAGTCCCAGAAGACAGAAGACACTTTTATATGGTTTTAACCTTCTTGACGGACTTTTCGCAATATCCAGTGCTTCCTTTTCTGCTGATCCAATCAGCTTTCTTAGGACATTCAGCTGGTTTTGCAACCCCTACTTCTCTCCCCAAAGGCTTCCCTTCTTTCCTGCACATGTGAGCACTCATATTTCTTGAATGAATGAATGGGTAAATAAGTATAAATCCAATTTCGATAAAGAAAATCAAATTACTGAGTTTAACTCAAGACAGAGTACAGGATGCTTTTGCTTTTATCACCACACTATTCTATTTCCTCCATTATCTTCCAGAACAAATGCACACCATGTATCTTTTATAATGAGAATAAACCAACAAAACTGTAATTTATCCTTCATTTCTTTTGTTGTTGTGGTTTTCTTTTTTTTTTTTTTTGGGAGTTTGATTGGGTGGTTTTGCTCTTGCTGCCCAGGCTGGAGTGCACTGGAGTGATCTCAGCTCCCTGCAACCTCCGCCTCCCAGGTACAAGCAATTCTCCTACCTCAGCCTCCCAATTAGCTGGGATTACAGGCACTCACCACCATGCCCAGCTAATTTTCATATTTTTAGCAGAGACTGGGTTTCACCATTTTGGCCAGGCTGGTCTCAAACTCCTACCCTCAAGTGATACACCCACCCTGGCCTCCTAGAGTGCTGGAATTATAGGCATGAGCCACTGCGCCTGGACACTTTCCTTCATTTTAACTGGCTCCTAGATTGAGATTAGAGAAACTTATGATTGACCTAGGATAATAAATAAAACCCAGTCATATGCTTTCATGTATTTTGGAAAACATTTAGGACCTGTGGTAGATCTGGCCTCAACATTAAATCAGCAGTTCTCTTTCCTGGAATTAGAGATTACCACATCAAGCTGAGCATGGTGTCATGCACCTATAATCCCAGCTACTCGGGAATCTGAGGCGAGAGGGTTACTTGAGTTCAGGAGTTCAAGATCAGCCAGGGCGAAAGAACCAAGACTCCGTCTCAATCACAATTTTTTTTTTTTAATTTTTAAAAAAGACTAACAAGCTAACATAAAATTAAAGTGTATCTCGAAACCAGACAGCCATCTTGTCTGCCATCACTGAGCAAATTACAGATGGACTCATAATACAAATTTGCCCACAGGGCTTGCTTGCAATACTATTTCACAAAGCTGGTTGTATTCTTCCTCTTCACAAATGGCCAGTCTGATGCATAGCATGTTTAGCTACAAATGCCTCTGCTGACTCTCCCTGCAACATTTTCATCGCTCGCCAGTAGATCTGTCCACAGTTCTCAGGTCTACCAAGGGGGTGGTTCAATTCTTCTTTGATATAATCCATCCAAAGATCTTTTTAAACAAAGAAAAAAAAACCACACACAATTATATAACTGACAGAGTATTATTAGGTAACCTTATTAAATATCAATTCAAATCAAGATTTCTAAGAAATTTAACTTCTCACTGTTATTTCCCTAGAATGCTTTGTTTAACAATACTTCTCTTAGCTTCTTTAAATGTTAAAGCATAGTGGCAGGTTTTGGGGTTGTATGTTTTTTGTTTTTGTTTTTTGAGACAGGGTCTCACTGTGTTGCCCAGGTTGGAGTGTGGTGGCGGGACCACAACTTACTACAGCCTCAACCTCCTGGGTTCAAGCAACCCTCCTGCCTCAGCCTCCAGGGCAGCTGGGACCACAGTACACCACCATGTTTGGCTTTTTATTTTTTGTAGAAACAGGGTCTCACCATATTGCCCAGGCTAGTCTTTAACTCCTGGGATCAAGCAATCCTGCTTTGACTTTCCAAAGTGCTGGGATTACAAGTGTGAGTCACCGTGCCTTACCAGTTTTTTTCTTTTTCAGTAGAAAACCTTCACATCAATCATAAAAGTCTGTATTAATCAATGAACTCAAAAATACTAAACGTTTTGCCTAGGCACAGTGGCTCATACCTGTAATTCCAGCACTTTGGGAGGCTGAGGCAGGCAGATCATCTGAGGTCAGGAGTCCAAGACCAGCCTAGCCAGAATAATGAAACCCCATCTCTACTGAAAATACAAAAATTAGCCAGGCATGGTGGTATGCATGCCTGTAATCCCAGCTA